AGCGGCCGTAAAATGTTTTTCCAAAACTCCCAGTTGCCAAGACATTAGGGGGCAAACCAACACGCAGCGGTGTTTGGATATTAGAAAGCGGAGGGCCCCGCAGGTCCCGGCCCTTACAGTCCACGGCTCTGGGGCCGCTCGCGGCTACCCTCGATCGAGTCCCGCGGCGCGCCGACTGGCGCACGCCGTGTTTATTCGACCTTCGAATTTTTTACTTTTATTACGGTGGCCGAGCTTTTGCTTGTTTTTTCCTTTCCTCCAGCCGGGAGCCACGCAGCGCACTGTACGCCGCCGTCCCCTTAGCGTCGTAGGCGTTCGCTGGCGCGGCACAGCAGCGCGTTGCACCACGATCGGCAGCCGCTCAAGAAGCGGAGCCCCCGGTAGCGAAACACGAGCGCGCGTTAACTCTTTGGCGTGGCGAGCGGTGGCTTGGCTGCCGCGCGCAGCAAGGAAGTTCTGAGCGCCGCGTCCCTCCCTCCCCTCGCACACATTACAGCCATCCTTTTCAACTTACAGACTTAGCAGATCTTGTGCGTAAAAGAGGCATTAGGCAAAATGAATTTGAATTTTCTGTGCCGAGTGAGGAAGGGGTAAAAAAAAAAAACACGTGTCCAAAGCAAATAATACGTTTTGTATGCTGTGATCAGTAAGCTCTGTGGGCTTCCTGGATTTATGCGTTTGTGAGCGCCACTGGGAGGACGAGCAGAGCGTCGCTGGCAGCGACTTCAAAGGGCGGCGAGCCCGTGAGAGCAGAGTGATATGCGAGCTGTGCGCTTTGGCAAATTACCCACCTGGTATCTTAAAATGAGTTTAAAACTAACTCAAGATGTGCTTCAACTTTTAAGTTTTAATAACCTTTCCAAGCAACCGAGCTCAATTTAGACATCCCCCCGGCCGTATCAGTGGGCTTGTAATTCGGCTTGAAAATGTACATTTGTTTAAAAATGTGCCGGACGGGCCTGAGAGCCCCGCCAAATCAACCGCTTAGAGCGAAAACCTCGGAGATATTAGATCAAAAAGGAACCATCAACATTGTAGCTCCAGATTATTAATAATTCTATCACGCTCAGATTTGTCTCTTTTATCGCTAATGCCTTATATATTGAAGATTTTTTTCAAAAAAGTTATACAATTTCGTTAAGCCAAAAGCTCCAAACTTCCCTTTTTCATCTCAAATTTGATCACTGTGAGCCGGCGATTCCACGCGTTTAATGCCAGGCTTGCTACAACCACCACTCTCCGCCTTGGCATGGTGTGGTTAGGGATTGTGTCCTGGTTTGGTGCTGTTACAAATCGTGTGGTTAGGGTCCGCGCACCTCCGATTCGCACGGTTGGCTATGTACGGTGCGAAAGAAGTTCAACATGCATACGTAGATGAACTGGCCGGCGTAGTTAAGTTCTGTATGTTTTACCGATGTGTTCACGTTGAGTATATTGGTGCCATTAGGCTTTGCGTTTGAGGTTGTGTGGAGGCGAGGGTTGGTGGATCGCACGCAAATGTTGTGAAACTACCTTCCCTTGAGCATCGCGGAGGTGCCATGCGCTGGCTTGCGAGAAGGCAGTACAGGAAGAGTAGACTAATCACCATCTGTTTCCATCTGTAAGTGTTGCCCCTTCGCATGCAATAGGTTTTCTCTGGGTGCTCTGGTTTCCTCCCACTTGCATGAACACAACTCATCATTAATTGGCTGAACACATCTTAAAGTAAACACCCAATGTAGCAGGACCCTCCCAAAATAGAGTCGACTGTGGCTTTCCTCGATAAGTGATTATCGTTATTACTACTACATTCTATGCAGTGGGAATGTATGCATTGTTTTCACGTGGTTACTGTGGTTAGGGCTCTGTCTGTGTTGGCTGGTGTGGTTAGGCCGTGTGTCGTTCGGTTGTGCAGCGGTTAGCGCTATGCTGCGCTACGAACCCGGAGACCCGAATTCGATTCCCGCTCACGGCTAACACCAGTGACGATTAATTATCCGAACCGGTTCTGGGCCTCACCTACATCGACTCGGCCTCAAATGAGTACCTGATGTGGGTGTGTCGTAAACATCTCCACTAGGGAGACAAAGGCGGCCGGGCGTGGTGCTGGCCACCCACCCCTTCCGTGTGCCGTGCTGGCCTTCATTAGGCACTCGCTAACAGCACTTGCCCCAACAGTCTGTTAAGGCTACACGGAGGGGGGGGGGTCTTTGCGTTCGTTTTTTTGGCTCCTCGTGTGCGGCGAGTGTGGTTGGGCGGTGCGTCCCCCGCCCCCATCACCAGCCAACGTTAAACGAGTCAACAGGTGTCATGAAACGTGGGATGACGGTTGTGCTCCGCCATCGTAGCACTACCGTGGCTCCCCGTGCCCTGAAGGACACCTTGGAATGCGGGTTATTGTGACGGAAATTGACAGCTTAAAACACATCTTGGCAGAGTTTTGCGGAGGGAAACGGCTTATCCAGTCAGCAAAGGCCCTCGTAACGACCTCCGCTTAATTTTGACCGCGTTTGTCACACGCAATATTGTTTCTCCCCGACGCGGTACGATGCCAAGCTCAAAACCACCACCCCCCGCCCCTCACACTTAATCAATTTATGCACGACCAAAAAAACTCTGCTGATTGAAAGCAGCTTTGCTTACAAAAGTAATTTTCATGACATTGTTCAATTTTCCAATTACGGAACGCCCCCCTGCCCCCCCGCCCTCCCTCTCACCTCCAAGTCGCCCCGTTACCTCGCCTGCTGATAATGATTTCGCCCGCCACCCCCTCCCCCCCTCCCAAAGCTCTCCCCTTCAAATCGTATTCCGCTGAAGTACAACCCTATCGTGTAATGGGCAGGAACGCATTTCAATATCCAGCCCCAATATTCCGCGACGCGCTGGCGCACCGCCGTAACGCTACACGCGGTATTCCTGGGCAGGATCGCTCCGTGCTTTGAAGTTACCCTCTTAAGTTTTTAACCTTTTAGAATTATGACAGACAAGCCTGCGGGCGCAGCCAATGTCCATATATGTGTTACAGTTTTCATTTTTCATTTTCTAAAACTCTGAACCGTGGCAAAGTTCCACAACATCTAATAAACTTAGAAATGAATTTCAGATTTGGTGGAGGGGAGAAAAAAAAATACTTGAGCAGCATTCCTGCCCAAAGCTGTGGATCGCACGCAACAGCACTTCATAAATCTTAATCATTCCCTGGTTTTTTAATGAGCCACATGGTTCTGCTACTTTCTTGTCTGCGGCTCAAACCGCAAAATGGGTCCCAAATCTGGAGCAGGGGCATTAACGTAATGGGAGCGGAAATTAAAGATTACACCGGGGGAGAAAGTTTGCCTAATGGAAACCTTTTGGGGCTGGATTTTGTAACCTTCTGCATGCCTCGGAGAGAAGCTGGGGAGGCAGGCTAGGTGGAGAGGAGGGTTGACGGCAGGGGGTTGGTGGGGGAGGGAGCAAGAAAGGTGGAGGGGAGGAGGGGGGGGGGGCGAGGTAGTGAGGAGGGTGGGGTATGAGCGGGGTGAAGGAGAGGCGGGGGGGCCTGGGGCAAGTGGTTCCCATCAACCCTGCGCGCTCTCACATTTTCCCCATCTGATGGGCCTAATGAGAACAAGCTGTGCCGCCGCGGCCGGGGCCTCGACGCGAGCTGCTGCCGCTGCTGCTGCCGCCCCCTCTGCTGCCGTCTAGACGCGACGAGGTGTGCCTGCTCCTGAGTGGGGCGCGACCCCTTGCCGATCCAGGTCAGGTTACCCTCCCAGCTGCCACGGCCCACCGCAGGGGCTATCTTGTTATTGAAATGCCCGTCCGCTGTGAATGCACCGTTGCTTCCTCGGGGAGTGACGTCCGACGCAGACTTTGTCTAACTAGGTAGGTGGCGGTGATCCAAAGGAAAAGCTTTCATGTAAATTGATAAAGCAGACAAGAAAAGTTGGTGAGTAATATAACGTATCGCGGAAAATGCAGCTGGTGTTTTTTTTGCCGTGACAGTAGGTCCCTATAGAAACAAACAGAATACAGAATTACAGCTTTGGAGTTCCTAATGTGATGCATGTGTGAACACTCATTTTCAGATACAGAACATTTATAAGTCAGTTCTCTTCTTCTCCCCGGTGTCTTCCCCGCCGCTTGCTCGCTCCGTACCTCTGCGACGGGTGCCCTTCCCCGCCTGCGCTCTATGCCGTGCGCGCCGGTGTGATGGAAACGAGCGAAAGTAAAACAAATGCCAATGCGGGCGCAGGCGCTCGCACGAACACACTCACGCACGCGCACGCACGCAGAGTACACGTGCGCGCTAGGAAAGCCGCTTCTTGATATTGCTGGATTAGACAATGAAGAGCTGTCACTCTCCTACACACTCTATTAAATCAAATCAGCCAAAGCATGCTTTAAACCTTACGTTTCGAGCATGTGTTATGAATTGCATTAAACACACACAATAACAAAGATCCCCCACGTAGCCTTGATCAGACTGCCGGGGCAAGTGCTGTTAGTGAGCACGTATTAATGCTGGGATGCCCCACGAGGAGGTGGGTGCTCAGCACCACCCCCCCCCCGCCCCCAGTGCTTTGTGTTTACACACGGCACCAGGTACTCGCATGATGCACAGTTAACCTCGGGAAAGGCCCAGGCCCAGTTTAAATAGTCGTCACCGATGTTATCCGCGAGCGGGAATCGAACTCTTGTCGCCAGATTCGTAGTACGGGGAGGGGCTAACCACCGGCACCCACCGCTCCAGTCCACAAACACACGATCGCAGCAACAGCTGCCATTCGCGGATAAGTGGTGGTGACATCACCATAGCACCTGTGCCAGGCTAGGTGCATTTTGAGGACGCGTGAAGTGTGGATGGGTCACTGCTGGAAGGAGGTCACGGGACAGACCCCAGGTGTCATGGGTCGACTGACTGAGGACGCGCTCACCACCTGTGCTGCTCACTGCGCCGCACTGCTCTGCATCAGCCACACGCACGCACGCGCGCACTTACGTACGTACACACGCACACGCCGTGGATCCGAGCCACTCACCGCTCTGCGGCTGTGGCGCCTCGCGCACGCAGAAGATCTGCGCCAGCTCGTCCTCCCCGCCCACCACCCCCGGCCCGGTGGCCGCAACCCCGCCGGCCCCCGCGGCCTCCTGCGCCAAGCCTCGGTGGAGTTGCTGCAGTCGGCGCAGGCCCTCGCTCTGCTGGTGGCGCAGCGAGCGCGCGTGCTGCAGCAGAGCGAGCTTGGCGTGCGTGGAGAAGTCGCAAAGCGTGCAAACGAACAGGCAGCCCTCCACCGACGACGAGGCCTCCTGCTTCTGCAGGTGCTGTGGGGTTCGGACGGGAGGAGGAGGAAAGAAGGAGGAGGATGGGGGAGAGTTAGGGAACTGTTAGGAGATGGGAGGGCAGTGCTAAGTGTTTCCTCGCCGCGTGTGTGTGGGGGACGGGTCCGGGAGGTTTAAGAACACTCCCGCCACGCTGCCAAATTTAGGAACACTTACATGGCTCTTTGACCCCCTTACAAAGCCCAAAGCAGGCGCTGAGAAACTCTGAAAATAAAACTTTCAACAATGTCCTTTGCAAAAAAAAAAAACTTTCGTTCATTCATCATCACCTGGTAATATACGAGTGTGCATTAATAAAAAAAAACCCCATCATAACAACAGTTCACAACAATTGGTGCCGATCCATATTGTACTGCAGTACAATATGGATCGGCTTCATACAAGCCAAATCTGGCTCCCAAGATTACAAAGGTGACTAATAACAATGACGATGACATGGAAGTACGACTACACTGCCCCCCACCCGTTCTCCATCTTTATTTTCATGCCAGGACACCGGCTTTGGCCTCGTTTGGCGAGCCAGTTCGGTGTTTTAAACTCAAACTAAACTATTTCTTTTATTTTACCAGGAAAGGCCCACTGAGCTATGCAGCTCTTTTCTCAGAAGTCGACCTGGCCACAGACAACAGCATAACGAAGTGGCTTATCACGTGGACATTTACAGCAGACAAATACTTAAAAACGGCACGTTTCTAAGCATTGAAGAGGGGGCTTAAGCCCATGGCCTCCAATCTAAGCTTCACTTAAAGTCGCAGGGACATAGAAAAACCGTCAAAGTTACCGAGTTTCACCGCGTTACATTTAACGATATTTCCATTTCGTTACCTCCGTACGAACTGAACGAACCGTGTCAACAACTGCAGTGGTTTGGTTCAACTATTCATCACCGTGAAGTACAGACGGTCAGCCTTCCTGCGCTCATGGATATCTGTGCACCCGGGCACATGAGTAGAAGAACACCTGGCTACCCTCATGAACGCCATCCAAGTGTTCTCCTCAAAGAACTAATGGTAAGCGCTGTTGGCGAGCACATATTAAAGTCCGACAAGGGACTCGAGGAAGCCTCGAGGCCAGAACCGCAGACGGCCGACATTCGCAGAGCGAACCTGGTCCCCACTTGTAGTGGCATTGACCGAACGGAGGCCAGCAGAACAGGTGCAGACACCTCTTTGCCACGGCTCTCAACTCTCGCTGGGAATCAAACCAAGCTCGCGGAGATCAAAGTGCAAAAGTGATGCGCCACAGTTCCTCGACACACGCATGTACATGCTGGCACCGCACTGACGACCAACGTCGCCCTCGTCCACGCAGCAGCAGGTGGGCATGCCAGCGAGGCGACGTTTCTCGCTTTAGGGATAAATGCATGGTCCAGGGGCAAGGGCGTCAGCGGATAACGCGTCGCACGCCTCGCCTCCACTCCTCTCCGCTCGGTAGAGCCAGAGCACGAGACGAACCGCAAACGTGGCCGCGGGATCGGCCACGCGTTCCGCAGAGCACGTGCAGCCAAGCAAACGAGGAACGCACGACAAGAAACAACCGCGCGCACTACCGACCGGATCGCACGGAATCACACGCGAGCCGGCACGCGCGGCCGCTTGCCCACTCGGTGAATATTCGCTCCGCCGGCATTCCTGCTCACTCTGCCGTAAATCCCGCAACTGGGAAGGAAAAAAAAAATAAATCGCAAACAAACGGACAAAAAATAAACCGTCGCGGTCGCCGCCGCGCTCCGTCGCCGGCTCGTCCTGTCACCTCGGCACGCGCCGGTGGGCCGTCGGAGCTGCACGCGGCCGCTGGGAAGAGCAACGCGGCCTTCCTCTGCAGCGGCCGCATCGCCTCCGAGCCCTCGCCGGGCTTCAATCCCCACGCACTCGCGGGATGAATGCGAAATAAATAAATAATGCTTTCTTTTTTTTCGGGGGGGGGGGGGGGTTGGGAAGAAGAGAAAAAAAATCTCCAGCCGTGCAAGGAAACAGTGAGCAAGCCGTGAGCGCCGGCGCGGAGTCACGGCTTGTCCTTTCTCCGGACGCCGAGACCACGGGGAAGGTCTTTACGGTCCGGGATGAAAGAGGACGGCTTATTTGGGAAAGTTGTATTTTGGGCCAATCAAATTCCACATTGCTTGATTCCCATCTATTCTCCACCCAGCCTACAAATTATGCGGGGCCCCCCCCTAAAGAGCTTAAGAGAAGAAGGGAGGATTATTGGCAGAACAAAACCCCCCTTTTGGTAACCTGCAGATTATATTAGACTGCTCTTTATTATGTTAATCTGATAACTATTTACATCAATTACTATGCAGGCTGTATTATTTGATTGAGCTGCTTTTGCCGGTGCTGCCGTCCTCGGTCGTTACGTCTAAAATCACGGCTTCATTGGAGGATCGCGCCGCCTTTGCACTGCTTTCGGAAAGTTGGCGGGCCGTCGGACGGTGCCGAATTGGCCCCGGGTATTCGTAATTTATTTTTGCATGCCCGGAACCGTCGTCGTCGCTGTAGTGAAAACCCGCGCCCCGCGCCCTTGCCTCCTCGTTTACCGACACCTTTGGGCCAGAGACCGTGGTCCCGGCAGGCAAAGGGGCTTGGGGGGGCCTGCGGCTGAATTATTCATGCAAAACGCCTTTGTTTGCCGATGACAACAGCCGTCCACATCAGCACTTGTGATTGTTTTTGCAAAGGAGAATTTTTTTTGTTCAAGTCAAGCGGCCGCTGCCAAAACGCCGCAGCTGCCGACGACGCACTCCAAATTCACAATTAGGCGACGGGTGACTCTCACGCGCACACCCCGGGCGACTCTCACGCACGCACCCCGGACGACTCTCACACACACACCCCGGACGACTCTCACACACGCACCCCGGACGACTCTCACACACGCACCCCGGACGACTCTCACACACGCACCCCGGACGACTCTCACACACGCACCCCGGACGACTCTCACACACGCACCCCGGACGACTCTCACACACGCACCCCGGACGACTCTCACGCACGCACCCCGGACGACTCTCACGCACGCACCCCGGACGACTCTCCCACGCACGCACCCCGGACGACTCTCACACACGCACCCCGGACGACTCTCACGCACGCACACCCGGACGACTCTCACGCACGCAACCCCGGACGACTCTCACGCACGCACCCCGGACGACTCTCACGTGCACACCCCGGACGACTCTCACACACGCACCCTTAGCGACCGACCCACAGCCGGGCACTTTCGCGAGGACAGCGTGACGCAAGAGGCAATTTAAGTTTTTGGCGATGGCTGCAGTTTTATAACCAAAACTGCCCCACTTCTTCCGTCCCCCCCCCACCAAGCCTCAGATCCCCCTCCGCCCCCATCTCATCGTCCCCTCCGCCCCCACGCCCCCACCCCTGCCTACCCCAGCTCCGACTCCCTTTGCACATTTATAAAAATAAATTGCTTGTGTTTTTTTGGTGCTGCCTCTAATCCTCTGACTGTGAAAATAACAGGCTGTAAAAACCCGGCCGAGCAAATCCCACCCAGGCAGTGGCGGATTAATATTACTCTGCCAGGTGCAAACATCATTTTCATTAACTTGGCCCTACCCCTCCCGCGCCTTTATGAATGTATCCCTTTTTAAGCTTTCAGGACCACGAGAATGACCGATAATTTTAATTAAAATTGTGGCTGGCAGATTAAGGGAGGCCAAGGATGCCGCGGCTTTAATTACGGTCATACTTTGTTTGTTGCGGTGGTGCCCAAACAAGTGCCAAGCCGTCATTAGCATTTGCCGTAAGACCCCAAAACACAGAACCCTGTTGTTTGGACGAAGGCCAGGTCCGCCGTTTACAACCGTGGGGCGAAACGGCACCGCTACTTTAAAAACGCGACCCCCGGCCGTATTCGCGAACTCTGGCGGCGCTCGACGCTCTCCCTCCGCTCCATCCTAAAGAGAACGCACAGGGACCTTTTTTGAAAATTCAGAAGAAAGCAGTCGGGTAAACAAGAGGTGGCTCGAGCCGTCGCTGGCTCACGCACCTGTTCACCATTACGGGCCACGCGACCTCGGCGTGCAAACGAATTAACGGCTAATTCAGCCCCATCCCCACCCCCTCCACCTCTCACCTGGGTGGAGACAGAGCTGGCCATTACAGCGGCCATTTTTATCATGGCCAACGGCTAAATGGCCCCGGGATCGATTTCTGCAGCCTCTTGGAAACCAAGCTGACAAACTTTGTCCCGTGGACTCCTCCTCCTCCTCCCTTCTCGTACCACCAAAACACACGGAGATAAATAAGTAAATAAAACTGCAAAGAGAGAAAGGGGGGTGAAAAAATAAGCCAATAGTGTAACCATTCTCCCACGTATCTGAAATAATCCATATTTCATGGACCCTCCGGTGTAAACGCAGACACGAGGACAGAGAGAGAGAGCGCGGCTCTGCCTGGGCCCTGCCGCTCACTCTCTTGGCAGACATCTACGGCGCTCCACAAGTGAACGCCGTCGGAAAATTAAGACAGCCGGGGAAGGGAGGGAAAAGAAACAAAAGAAAAGGAAGGCGCGCCATTCTCAATCATCCGAGCGAGAATTATCATCTGTCCCGTCGATTTTTTCATTTGCCGCAATCCGGCAGAGGCAGCCGGAACACGGCTCCCCTGGGGAACCCGCCCGGGGACATTTGCATGAAGATACGAACGAGCGAGGTAACGTTCTGCGGCGGCACGTCCGAGAGACAATCGGCGCGTATGGGTGAACTGAACCGCCGGCGTGCGGATGAACCGCCAGCGCCGGCCTTTGTTGCACGAGGACATCATTAAGCTAATGACCGTGTTTTTCAAAAGAGTGCGATAAAAAAAAAACCCCGGCGCCTCCATTTTCCACGAGCCCGTCATTTTCGCCGAGCGCAAATGCATAACGTTTAGGCTGCAGGAAGCGCGACGGTGTGTGTGTTTGTTGTTGTAGCAGCAGGCAGCGGGTGAAACCCCCTAATTACACAGGGTACACGTGTT